ATTTTTTTCGGCCATTAACATCCGAATTTTCAGCTGTTTGTGCTTATTATTTTTTCGTAATAGTAGTTTTATTTGTTAACTAAAAGGGTAGTATTGTCTTTTTAACACAAACATGTTTTGTAATTGTTTTAGTCACTTAAGGGTGTTTTTGTCTTTTTATAGCAAAAGTGGCATTTTGGGATTATTGTCAATTGGAAAAGTCAAAATGGAATTAGGGACCTTTGACTAGGTCATTTTGACAAGTACCCCGCCAAGGGAGAAGATGATGGAAACGACAAAATCCAACACTGATTCCTCTTTATTTCTTAACAGGTGGATAGCGTATCGACCCGATTAACTTGATCGAACCTCACCCGCCCAAATGATTCAGAATGCGGCGGGTGGCCCGGACGCTCTGATGCAAGACTGGTAGGGATAGGATTTTCGAGTCTAAATTGGCCGGCCCGCCCCCATTATTTTCCATTAAATTAAAATTTATTTTTCTCCCTTCTTATCAATCACATATTCTCCAATAAAATAATATTACACGTAAATCCAAAAAAAACTTCTTTTTTTTTAACCACACATTCTCAAAAAAATATTACTCCTCTCATTATAATGTAAAATAATGGGGGCCAAACGGACGCTTAATGTAACCAGGAACATATTATGCCCACTTCAAAAACTCAATCATGCTGCATGTGAACTCTCCCCTCACCTTCTTTTACACTTTCGTAGGTGTCAAGATCTACGCTCTTAATTTTTAACTTTTCATTCACATCATTGTACATATTTTTTCAGCACATGAGGGGAATGTGTCAACAAGAATGTATATCTAGCTTAATTTATTAAAAAACAATGTATTGTCAAAACGAATGTGTTTGGAGCATGTTTGCTGAGCTTAAAAAATTGTAGTGTCAAAATGAATGTGTGGATCAGTCCGAATAGTATTGAAAAATATGAATTATACTCTGTCGATGATCAAGTTTCACCGTTCTTGAATTGTGACTCACTCAATTCAATTTGTGTAGATTCTTTTAGTTTCTTTTTCATTGTTTCACTAAGTTCAAAAAATAAAAAGTAGAAATTGAGCAAACATTTGCTATTTCTAATTTTATATTGGGTGATGCAGCCTAAAGGTTGATTGGTCTCGACCTCACTAAGGGCAACTCGATGCAGACATTTCGCCGCTTGTTGGATAAGACTTTGAGTGGTCAAATTTAGATATATAACACATCATTCCAAATCTTAAATTTAGTTCGAATCTAAATCTTTGTTTTCTAATTTATTTCGAATTTAACAGAATCTCGGAAGTTTGGTTAGGGGAATTTCATAAATAGAGTTACAATACTTAATGATGTTGATCGACTTATCGATTCTTATAACACTCGATCAATCAGGGAAATTCGCAAAAAGGATTTGGGCGCTCGGCCCCTCCAATGTGAGAATTGGTTGATAATTCTTTGTATATGTGAAGAGAGTAAAATGAACTTGTGGAAAAAATATTTTAGATAGTAAAAAGTACAATTTTACTTTTGGGGACTTCCTTTAAATATAATTTGAATTATGTTTACGTGTCAAAGGGTAGTTATGCGCATGTGGAATAAGCGTCATAGGGTTTCCTTGATATTTGACAAAATTTGTAGGGACGTGAAGACCAAACAAGCTATTCGAATCTTTCTAATGGCATTGACATTTACTTAATGGTGTATCTATCCCATTGTTATGTGGTCATCTGGTGGATCGTCATTGACCGTCTAAGGTCGTGTAATGGCAGAATGAGTCGACGTACGAAGGTTGTCCTCTTTTATCCCTTCATCAATTGGCCTACTCCGATGAGTCTGGACACAAATCGACGAATAAACGATCGTAGTCACTTGCAAACGAGGTAAACTCAATATCTAGCTCATGACATTTATCCTAATCTCATTAGTATCACACCATATCTACCCTTGAGGCTAATTTGATCATTTTTAGTGTGAGTTGACCCTTAATCAAACATTGCTACAATACCTCAAACGAAAAGCTCTTCAACCTTGGCCAAAACACGAATATTGTATAAAAATAGAGATAAATATACCATAGACTTGCAATATTACATGTCACATGAGTTACATCCGGGGACTGGATCAAGAGAGTTGCACTCCACCAAACTCGAATAGAAAAAAAGTCTTTTATAATTATATTGTCTAACAATTAATTATATGTTGATTACACTTTTGAATTGACAATCAAATAAATAAAAACTTTTCAGTTTTGATATATTCTCATATGTGATGAAACCCTCACTAGATTATATGAATTAAAAAAATGCAAAAAATTATGCCCCTCCCTCCGTCCCTCGAGGGTCACAGTCTCACTTGGTTCTTTTAGTTTTACTAACAATTCTTTTCAAAAAAGCTTTACCGGCAAAAGCTCAGTCAAACAAAACCTTATTCTCGTTACATATGAATATGCGATATTTACATTTTCATTTTTTTAAGAATTTATCGACGGTCAACTTCAAGTACTTGTACAATAAACCCGGGACAAAGATGAACAAAGTACGAAACTTCGTGGTCAAAACGAAATAAAAAGATTCTTTGTGAAAGAGGTGGAGATTCTGATAACTAATGGCCCGCTTCAAAAGCAATCCGACCCACCATATGAGCATGATATCTAATTTGACCGTTTATCACTATTTCAAATTCCATTCCCTCCTCTTATTTTAACATGAAATAAATTTTTAAAAAAAATCTGAAGGAACAAATGAAAAAAATTATAAATTAAACTAATTCCTCTAATTTAGGTGACGTATTATGCCCAACCTCTTTGCCGGTTGAAACCGTTCTCTTCTTCAAGAGGGTACCTTCAGTTTTCCTAAAATACCCTTAGTTTATTATTTATTTATTTACTTCCCACTCTGTTTGGCTTCAATTAAAAATTTGATAAAAAAAATTGTAACTATACATTTTATGAGATTCATAATTTTTATCAAAATTTTCAGCAATACATTTCATCAATTATTATCAAAATAAACTAAAATCTAATGTTTAACTACACCATATATGAGCTTACCATTGGATCCTTTTGTATTTTGATATTATAATAAGGATGCGTTTGATTACGAGTATGCAATTTGTATAGAAAGAAAATAAATTTTAGACAATTGCATTTGATTGCGAGCATTAAAGTTGCATAAAAAGAAAATAAATTCAATGCAATTCAATTGTTTAAAACTTATTTGTATAGAAATTATTAATTAAATGTGTTCGATTGATTTAATTTTCAATATAAAAAATATTATATTTGTCCATTTTTTATTGATGGGTAAATGAGAGAATGAATTACTTATAAAATAAAAACCACCTCTCACAAAAAAAATATTTTCCTTATTTTCAAGGAAAATATGGTCATGTGACCAAAATTAAGAAAAAAAATTTCGTAAAAAAAATTGTCAATCAAACAGCAGAAAATTAGGTGAATAACACATTTTTCATTAAAAATATTGATAGTCAAACACACCCTAACATATTGAAAAAATCTCGTTAAAACCTAATATATTCGATATATTCAATTAGATAATATATTCAAAATAAAAGAATGAAAAAACGAAGTAAAACAATTTGGCACATCTGATACGAGTGTTCAATATATCACTTATATATTACAATATTTCTATACAAGCATAGACATTTGGACGAGATTGTTGATCTTATCGAAAAGTAGTTAATAACACCCTAAATTAATAATTATCAATTTATCTTAACAAAATTTGTACAATATTTACTTCCCCATCACCAATGAAATAAATAAATAAATAAACTTAACTAATTTCCTTACATTGGAATTTTCGATATTGTTTTTTGCTTTTTTAACATCTATAATAATAATATATTAAATATCGCATCAAGTGAGAATCATTTTTTAGACGGTTTTAGCCATACCACAATTTGATTATTTCAATAGTATCTCACTTTTCATTTTTCAATATATATTTAATTTAATATTAATTATTAAACATGTATGCAAATAAATAATTGAATTGTATGAGAAAAATCAAATCGATTCATGAAAATGAAATTTAATTAATTGAATATAGAAAAAGAATAACGTATATACATTTAAACAAATGGGGGTGTAAATGAACTAACATGAAATTTAATTAATTNTGTACATGACCAAACATAAAATTTAATTAATTTGAAATAATGAATATAGAAAAAAATAATTTATATACATTAAAACAAATGACGTTATATCATAAATTAAATAAATAATATTAAATTAAAATTAAATAAGTGTACATGAACTTGAATAATTTATATACTCATAGAATAATTTACGATAAAATGAATAATTTTGAAAACAAATACGTGTTCATATATAAAGTAATTGAACAGCCAAAAAAATATATAAAGTGTACAGCGTTATTAAGCATTTCAAAATAACGTGCAACGCACACGTTTAGCTGTGACTAGCGCATTTAAATATTTGATGGTATTTTGCTAAATTACAAGGGCACTTTTGTAAGAACACATGCAACCTTTCATCAACCATATCGTAAATACAGGGATTTTTATTTTGTTGGTTAAGAAATTAATAGATGCCAGCTGGAAATTCAAAAACTTCCTTTTTCACAATTTATTATAAAGTGATAAAAAAAGGGTGTTCAAAGTAAATAAATTAATTACCAAAATTTGAGGACTCTTTGAAGCATCGGTTCTCGTGATTTTGCTTTGTGGGCTTAAACGGTTTCTGTTTTTAATGCTCAGAAGTTTCCGCAGCGAGTTGAAAGTCAGTTAAAAAAAAAAACAGTGAAGTGAAGGAGTGAATGTAGAGAGACATGGAACTTGAGTAGAGTTCTCGTTTCAGTTTAATTCTGGTATTTTCATTTTCTTCATCGTACTTTTAAGATTACAAGTGTACGCTGAATCTGTTTGGGTTTTTCATGAATGGATTTTTTGAAAACAGTGTTTTATTCGTGGGTTTAGACTGATTACTGTGTTTTCACTAACATAGAATAAAATACGGTGTCGTCATGGTTTCTCTCTGCGTTATCTGGTTTAGAATACTCTTCTCTGGGTACATAAATTTTGTTAAAAATGTGTTAATGCCATTTATTTTTATTGTTTGATGCAATTTATGATGGATAAGAAAAATTATGGTACATGAAGGCCTGTTTGGTACAATTGACAAAGATTTTATCGTATTTAGTATTTGTCGAGTATTGTTAACGAACATGCTAAAAGGTTTTTCTTTTCTTGGTTTGCAATTGATTTGAGATACCCGGTTTAAAGTCCTCGTTTGGAGAACCAGAAAACAGGGGCCTGAATCGACTGTTCCTGCTGTAGAAAATTCATATTTGAGCTGAGCATTATTTTTGGTTTCTTCAGTAGATATACCACTCTTATTCTGTATAGTTTTATTTATTTTTCGTTATATCTGCATATCATTTTCAATCATTTTATTCTATGGTTACCTGTGCAGTGGCAAGTTGTGAAATGGATTCTTTCGAGGCTGTTAAAACTGTTCATGGCAGAATCTTATTATTGGAACCAGAAAATGTTGCAAGAAAGATTATTGGATATATTTATTTACAAGAAATTCCTGACCAGGAAATGATTCGGTTAGCTTTAGGGCCAGATAGCTTAATCCACACGTTGATACAGAAAGCAAAAACCGCACTTAGGTTAGCACCAGCTGTTTCACCTCCCATTTCTCCTTCCATTAACCCGAACCCTATATCAGTTCCGTCCCTTCACATGAACCTCCCTCTACCTGCTTCGCCACGCCCATTTCCATCTGTGTCTTCACTTCGGAGGGTAGATCCTTATTTGCATCCTCAGGTAGTTGCTGAGCAGCAGCGAGTGCATACTTCACCTTTCAAAGTGTTATCCTACTCTGATTTAAATCACTGTTTTCAAAACCAATTTCAGGGTTTGGAGGATCAGCTAGAGCTAGCCAACTCTGGGTCATCAGGTTTTCCTAGTGATTATTATTGTTCAGAAGCTGCATTCCATAATCTGAGTAACAGAGGTTTGAGGAATTCTCCGATTTTAGTGGATTACCCGGTTAAGGCTTGTCACTATTTCAACAAGGGCTTTTGTAAGCATGGAAGTAAGTGTAGGTATTTTCACGGAGAATATTTTCCAGAGAGCTATCAACATATGTTTGGTCTTAATTCTCATCAATTTGACAACAAAGATCAAGTGTTCCAGCCGGGGTCCCTTGAGAAATTAGAACTGGAAATCACAGAGCTATTGAAATCCAGGAGAGGTCATCCTGTTTCCATTGCATCTCTGCCGATGATATACTATGAGAAATTTGGTAAAACTCTACAAGCCGAAGGATATTTGACTGAAAGCCAAAGAAATGGAAAAGCTGGTTATAGTTTGACTAAACTTCTTGCTAGGTTGAAGAATAGTATTCGGCTCATTGACAGGTGTCATTTAGATCTTTACTGGTATTCGTTGTCCATGTATTAGTATATCCAATGTCGATAAATAATCATTAGTCTTCTAATTTTGATATGCAGGCCTCATGGACAGCATGCGATAATACTGGCTGAAGATGCTCCAAAGTACTTTGACATCCAGGGTGAAATAAATGATCCCGGTCCGACTATTAGCAGCTCTCGACAAATTTATCTAACATTTCCAGCTGAGAGCACTTTTACTGAGGAAGATGTATCCAATTACTTCAAGTAATTTTATCTAAATCTGCATTGTTGCTTATTTTATTGTCCTCAATTTTCATCATTATAATGTTCTCTTGTTCTGTGTTCTATCGTAGTACTTTTGGTCCAGTTCAAGATGTAAGAATTCCCTGCCAGCAGAAACGGATGTTTGGTTTCGTAACTTTTGTGGATGCAGATACTGTGAAGTTAATTTTGTCCAAGGGAAATCCACATTATGTTTGTGGGGCTCGTGTTCTTGTGAAACCTTATAGAGAAAAGTCCAAGCTTGTTGATGGGTATATTTTCTACTTCAAAATAATTTCTTGATCTAATAGACTACACGGTCTCTATTCACTTAATCTTCCATTTATACGCCGCCTGCTCAATTTGTTGGTAGGGACTACTGTGTATTATAGACACGGCTCAAATCAAGAAAATTGTGCAGCTTCTATTTAACGCCTAACATTTTCTTTTTTGATAAAATGCAGGAAATACCAAGTAAAACTTGAGCATCCAATGTATTATCACTCGCAACCAATAGAAATCGACTCTGAGCTTCTAGAGAGTGAGACATTTGCTTTTACCTAACTGCAAGCCTAGTTTACTTCCTCATGACTAGCTTTGAGACTGCAATAATTATGAAATATGAAGTCTTATTATTTCTTTGTATGTTCAATTGATGGGAAAGATAAGTTTTGTGAATCGAACTTCAGTAGCACACGCTTGTAAACCAATTCCTAACCTCATTGTCTTAATTTTCTAAGTAAATGTTTGGTACATAGTATGAGATCTTATTGGACACTATAATCAACCAAATAATAGCTTCTTGTCTTCTTGAATATTGTCCTATCATATGTAATCTACCTTACCAAAATATGCCTTAAATGTACTTACACAATGATCCTCCCATTTTTCCCATATAATCAATGTTGTCAAAACTGGACCTGACCGGCTGGTCCAACCGGAATAACTGGGAACAGGGTCCAAAACCAGTCCGGTTTTAAGTAAAAAATTGGAAAGTTCGAAATTTTGAAACCAAGCCAAGAACCACTGAGTTCAACTCAACTTTTTTTATTTCTATTTTTTTGATATTTCTTTACCACCGGTTCAACCTAGGTTCGACCTTTACCTTTTCCTGGTCGATTCTTGGTCTGGTTTTTAAACTATTGCACATGATATGTTTTTTTCTAATAATTGTGCTCTTTCTCCTCGTTGCGCTTTTCTTTCTTTGTATAATGTTCTGCCACGGGCTGAAGCTATTTCTCATCTCATATGTCTTTGTTCTATTTAATACAGAATGGGAATCCTCTAGGCTGCTCAGGAGGCAACTAATGGAAGAGCATGAATGGGCCCTTGAACGTGAGGCATTACGTCTCTCACAGCTCCAGATAGCACAAAAGCCTCTGATCAATCAATCCTGCTTGGGCTATTCAGTGGATGCGCCAAAAATGCCTGAAGGTAATTTCTTAATTTACGAGCATAAGCATCTGTTCAAAAGTTGATTAGCTTTCTGTCAGCATTATTCATTCTACGCTGTTCCTTAATGATCGTAAATCAAAATTGTGCAGATAATTCCAAGTTCTCGTCTGTGCATTTCAACTATCTGTTTGATGTTCTAAACAGTGGCTCTACGAGTGATGATAACTCCAAGCCCTTGATTGCAAATTACAGTGATCAAGAGAGGTATGCAAGCGACTTTTTCTAAATATGATTGGGCTTAGACTAAGAAGTTAAAAGTAAAAGTTACTTATTTAGTAAATAACTAAGTTTTTATTTAAATAGGATTTTATGCTTCCTTCCGAAAAAAATTGTGCAAGATGTACAAATCACGGAGTTTTTTATTTTCTCACATTTGCCATCTCCTTATTCTTGGTTTTTTAACTATTACAGCAATCACGGACTGCATCTCCCTGACAGCCCTTTTGCATCTGCAGTTGCTAGCAGCATTTCTGCAGTCATATAGATTCAGAATAAATCACACAAGAACTATAGAGTTTATAGAGTTCGGGTTTTAGAAGGCACCGTCTATAGTATGACAGATAACTGCTCTTTTACTGCTTTTCCGCGGAATCAAAATTCATGCTGCAAGTACATATCGGTATAGAGAGAAAAATCAGAAGAATATGTCAACGTCTTTAGTTTGACAGATTACAGCTCTTTTTCTGCTTTTCCGAGGAATCAAAATTCATGCTGCAAGTACATATCGGTATAGAGAGAAACATCAGAAGAATATGACACAGAAGGAATCTCCTAAATGTGCCTTTTCTTTTCGAAATTTCACTCATGGAAGGAGGATAGATAACTTAATGTCTAGAGAAAAGAATGTAATATAGGAGTTTGTCGATAATATAGCCTAAGTAACTTCACATAACAAATTGAATTCATGTTGAAACATTTCTTTATATGCCAATGTAAATATTTGATGCTACTGGATAATCTCTTGTTCGTTTTTAATCACAATCTAGACGGCTGCAGTTTTACGTTTTCTTATAGCGTGGCATTGCAAGATTGTGGATTATGTATTAGGAAACTCTTACATTGTTCTGCGATGGTTTTTAAATATGAACATCTACGATTCTGTAGTACGTTTTTGCTTTCATTTGATGAAATATAACTATAGTGAGGTTTTTATCTGATGTAGTAGCACATTTTTTGTGGCTTTTACTTAATGAGGGGTTATGAGGAAAGGCCTCGTAGACTACGAGTCGCAGAAAGGGTTAATATGGTATTAGAGCATCACGCGAAGATCTTGAGTTTAAATATTGCCGTTAACAATTTGTAAAATTAGTGCATGTGACAATTTTGTTTATATAAAAAATAAATATGGTCAGCGTATGTGGGGCAAATTGAAGACAGTTAACTAAAAGCTTTTATATGAGGTTGTGCACACGTACTAAAATCTAAGTTAAAAGTCAATTAATTGTAATCATACATATCATGGGATGTAGAATTTTTATCAATTTTTCAATCATATCATTTATCGATTTTTATCAAAATCTACTAAAAATTCAATTTTTAACAAAATCAAATGGGCTACTATGCACAGAACCTATTAGCTTAATTCATTAAGAATCGTGTTACTTATACAACCTTGATTGACGACCTTGGTTAACAACTTCACATTTAACAGCATCTCATTCATCCATTTTAATAATTGTTTTTTAAATCAACAATCTGGATTTTAACAAAATCAAGATTGTCAACAATAGTTGTACAAATAGCTGAATTCATCAAGGTTTGTATAGGATTATATAATATGTTTCTTAATTCTTCACACGGAAAATATCTAAAATATGCCGTAGATGTAATTATTTGTATGTAAGTTGTATGTTTCCCTCCATATACTCGAGCTTGGTGAGGTGAATGGTAAATCGACAAAATGATGTAGTTGTTTGTTCTTTCCCCTTTTATTTCATCGAGATTGAGAATGATGCCTCCTAAAAAGTATTCGAGGTGTGCGAAGGTAGACTCAAATTAAGGCATGAGATTAACTGGTCGAACTGAAGCCGCAACAATATAAGGTCTAACTCAGTTTGTATGTGCTTTGTAAATGTAATTATGTACCACGTTTGGAAAATTTGTGCTGAGACTTGGACATATCTTTAGACAACTTATAAAAGTACCTCTAAAATTAGGGGTCTTTGAAAATTGTGTAAAATTAAGTGTCACAAAAAAGTGACACAATGTGATTTTTTAAAGTTAAATGAAATACAATGTCACTTTTATTAAAAATGTGATGTTTATCACTCAAAAAAGTGACGGGAATTTCAAGAAAGTGGCAAGCAACATAAATTAAAAATAAAAAGTGAAAAATACTAAAAGAGAGTGATAAAAATTCAAAAAAGTGACAAAAACATGCATCAATCCCTATTTATTGATATCCTAAATACAATTGACATATGTAGCAAGACGAAATATGAAACATATGAGAAGCAAGTGATTTACCTGTATTGAAGCCAAACGAACCTCTTTGTCAAAAGTGAGACTATACCTAATAAAGTATAATAGAGTTGGAGAGGATTATACGTCCATAGTGTGCGTTCGATATCCATGTTTGTGTGCTGTTTAGAGCGTTGAATGGATTTTTGTGTACTATCAGAATTTGAAGAACTTCAGAAGTTATGTGAGAAATACTATCGTTTCTCGCTTGAGGGGAGGAAACACAAAGTTTACCTTCACGAATATACGCGTTGCTAAAGTAATCATCTTCCCGAGATGATTGACTAATGATTTTTGCTTCCATTTTTTCTTCTATACGAGGTTTAAGTGTGTCAACATCCAGGGTTTTTTGTTCAATTACAGGTGCACCAAAAGTATTATCTGTAGGTCGGGTTGGAGCGTATTTTGAGTTATGACTTGGTTGGGGCTGGCTGTATATGATTTCTTTTCATACATTTTCATGTAGAAACTACAACTAATTAAAAGATTAATGAATAAATTAGTAATTAAGGGTATCAATCAATTCTCTTGATTTTGGGCCGTATTTAGCCTAATTTCCTCTTAACAACTTTTTACCCATTTTCAAGTGGAAATTACATAGAGGCCTACTTTTCAAGATCCAAGTTCAAAAATAACATTTTAAGTTTTAATGTTCAAAAATCAGATTTTTTATAGATAGATACATATTTTTATATTTAATTAAATATTAATAATAATATTATAAAA